AACCATTTGCTATTCCCTGATCCCTACTCAGAGAAGAGATCATCATTCTAAATGTTTGCCCTTTCCCTAGTCAAAACAGCAAACATTGCTCCCCCTTTAATGACGTAGGTAATGTAGTCTGGGTAAAATCATCCAGGTGTAAGTTTATCAGTAGACAGGTCCTCTCTATCTTGGAAACTCGTGTTTTTACTTTCTTTTATAAATATGTGTGTGTGTGTATGTGTGTGTGTGTATGTATATATATGTAGATGTATATATTTCCTTACATACATTTTGTGCATTTTTTCATCTTTCATTTTGTGCATTTTTTCATCTCAGTTGTCCTGTGGACTTCCCACCACCAGTTCACCCATGTGTCATCACCATAATTCAGTGCACACTTCCCACCCAGTTCTTATCCCCTTCCTCTTTCCACCCCCATAAAATGTCTCTGGTTTATAGTTGTTCATTGTTTTCATTTTTACTCTATACACCTCTCTCTCTCTCTCTCTCTCTCTCACTTTCACCCCCATAAAATGTCTCTGGTTTATAGTTGTTCATTGTTTTCATTTTTACTCTATTACATTTGTTTCCTTCCCCCCCCACCCCGATTCCTTATGCTCTTGCTATGAATGAAACTGTCCATATTTTTCTTTTGCCTTCTGACTTATTTCACTAAGTATGATCCCTTCCAGCTCCTTCCCTGCTGCTGCAAAAGGCATGAGTTTATGTTTTTGATTGCTGAGTAATATTTCATTGTGTATGTGTACCACATCTTTTTTATCCATCTATTTTTGGGCATTTGGGTTGATTCCACATCTTCCCTATTGTAAATAGAGCAGCAATAAACATGTAGTGCAGGTGTCCTTTTTTAATTGATATTTTTGTGTCCTTTGGGTATAAACCTAGGCATATTTTTACTTTCAAAGATAACATTATCCCCTCTCCATAGTATGAATCCCTCCTGTCTTCTTGAAACCTCACACTCCTTATCATAGGTTACATACCATGACTTGCCCCAGTTTGCTCAGAATTTATAGTCATGTAAATTCTCCAAAGGTATGTTACTAAATTTTTCCCACTAATCTCTCTGATGTTAATGTTTTTCTTCCAGCCTCAGTAGAATCCAGTGAGGTGGGAACTTTTTCCCCTGAGCCCTGACCCTGACAAGTCTTCAATCCTCATCCTGGACTGGTGGTGAATAGTCAAGTCTTGAGGAGAATGGAATTCTCAGGTAAGGTTTTGGGAATCTGACTACAGAAGGTTGCCACTAAAGTGCAATGACACAGAGTATTAAGTAAAATGATTTTAGGTACAGAGACAGCCAACAGGAACACAAGTGTTCCAGGACAAAGCACAGGAGAAAGAAGTCACACTTCCATATTATTCTGGAGAAACAGTCAACAACCCAGAGACCTGACAAGGATCAGTAACAGGTAAGAAAACTGTGAAGGCTACACTTGAACTAAATTTACCCAAAGTACCTACTTGTGTTGTTTTGTCATGTGGTGAAAAAGGGGTTCTGTGTTCCAGTTTAAAAGATTTAGCAAGTTTCTCTTCTCTCCCACCTGGTATATCCTGGACTCTGAAGATCAGACAATCTATACAGAAATGAAAACATCTATTTCTCCTCACATCCAATCAAACTCGAAAACTTTCCATTTGACCTCCAAAATAATTGTCAGTTTCATCCCACATTTTCCTTCTCCACTGATACAGTCTCATTGCCTTAGATCAACATTCTTTACCTCTAAACTTGAATATTCCAACAACTTCCTGAATTCTCCCCACTATTCATGTTCCAATCAAATATACTTCATCTCGCTGTCAGCAAAATGATTTTCTTAAAATGCATAACTGGATATATCACTCTTCTGCTTAGAAGCCATCCATCACTGTCAGGACAAAATCTAATCATCACTTTTGCATATCAGTCATGATTCAACTGTGAAAAATGGTGCCCCCCCCTCCTTGGTTCTATCATACCCTCTAGCTATAACTTAGGATATTTTTCCTGAATATATAATGATTTCTTTTATGTCCTGTGCCTTTATGCCTGACGTTTTATCAATACAACATGTATTCAATGTAACCAACTGAGGAAGGTGACTCATAAAAGTGTAATAGGGTTATCATGTTGTTTCGAATATCTTAAGAAGATTAATGAAAAATGTAGATTTTCCAATGATAAGAATGCACAGACTCACTAATTATGTTTAGCTTTGTTTTACTTTTAGCTATTATATCATTCTATCAACCTGGTTTAGAAAACTGTTGTTATTATGCTGGTTAAAGCTATGACTAGAGGCTACCTATGTCTTTACCAAATAAAATTTGGAAAAACTAGTCATTACTGATATGTTGTTATTATTATTTTATTGATAACCTCCATAAAGTCTATAGTAAATTATTAATAAAATCTGTCCTCATTGATGGAAAGATCTGGAAAATTAGTTGGCTGAAGGAAAAAGGGGAGGAAAAGGAGAATCAAAAGAGGGGGAGAAACATAAAGGAAACTCACTTAACATCCCTAAAACTCAAGCTCTTGTGTCGTTTTATCTCCCAAATAAAATAATTTATTGGGTAGATAGTTGCATATTTTCCTACTGAGGAAATCAAGTGAAGAGAGTTGAGCAGCATATCAATAGTCATTCAACAAATGTAAATACAAAGAAAGCCAAGATTCTAACTGGGCTACAGTGAGCACAAAATCCAATTTCTTCCTCTCACATCTGCTTTCTCACCCTGAAATTCATTCTCCTATAGTTGCTAATCTGGCATCTGGCCTCAAGTGAGGCAGTGAGATGCCTTAACAACTACATTTTTATATTAATTATTTAAAAGGTGTAAGAATACATCCAAGGTACATTCAGGAAAGTAACATACAAGACACTTGGTACACAGGTTCTGAGGCTTCACTGGGACTAAATTCAAATCCCAGCTGAAACACAGACTAACTCTGAAATTCAGGGTAAATTATATATCTCAGCAGTGCCTCAAGTTACTACTCTGTAAAGGAGGGATAGTGATAATTCCTACTAGTGACTTGCTTTGTGAATGAAATTAGGTTATCATGCATAATATTTCAAATAGTGTCTCAGGCACTGTATCAAGGCATTTAGCAACAGTCTCATTTGAATGGATATATACTCACTCACATTTATCCTCCTTAAACAAAATTTCTGTCTCAAATTAAAAACTTTAATTAATTATTAAACTATGTATTCACATTTCCTAATAGATGCTATAGGTATATCACTGAAATTCTTAAATAATAATAAATTATATCAATAATAGTTACATTTCCCAATTTTTATTTGTCAAAGATATACGCAGGCCCTAGTTATAGATTCTAACCATCAATATATAGAAATATTCTATGGTAAGTAACCACAGATTTGATCTATAAGTATTGGTGGTGCTGACAATCCAGGTTCAGGAACAATAGTTTAATGATAGAGACACACTGGCAAAGCCCATGTACTCCACTGCTATGTTGAGAGAAGACTAGCCCTCCACCAGACTGTAGCAAATGACAAACAAGGCGTCTACTATAAGCATCAGCAAGCAAAATTGTTATAAAATAGACTATGGTGGAAAACTATAGGTGTGGTGTGATACATTTAAAAGGTGTGATGTGATCCTATACTTCTAAATCAACTTGCGTAGTATGTCAGTGTTACCTCAATAAAATAAGAAGACACTTTTAAAAAATAATATATAAATAAGTCAGCATTTTCCAAAGCTTAGGAAAAATACAATTATGTGCTTTAAAATGTTCTTCAAGTGAAGTAACAAAAAGGATAAAATTGTCAGATATCAAATATTATTTTCAAAATTTAATGATTGTCCACTCCTATCTCTGATTTAGCACATATATTTTCCAGTACTATGTATAAGTTACACAAATTTCAATGTATTTTATTTCTCATGAGCATTATAAATCTGGATTCAATGGTAACTATGTCAACGTATATCCTTTCTTTAATGCAGACACCATTCCAACTTCACATACTGTTTCCTATAGCTACGTCTTCCAAATTTATCTGATAAACTTCACCTACATCCTTATTAAAATACAATCCCCCCATGCTCCATGCTCTGGAGATACTCAGTTTTTAGGTCAGGATGCAGTCAGAGAATTGGTATTTTTTAAGACTTTATTTATTCATACAGAACTGGGGTACAGGCCAAAGGTACAGGGGCAGTGAGAGGCTTCACCAGAGACAGAGCGGGGAGCAGAACAGACTGACTGATGGAAGTACACTGCAGAGGGGAGCAGCGGGCGGGTCAGGAGAGGTCTGCCGCGCCATGTGGTCACCTCTGGGGCAGGTGGGGATCGAACTCATGCGGAAGTAGCTTTAGCTTCTTAGTGCTGTGCTTTAACCCGCTGCGCCACGAGGGAGGGCGAGAATTGGTATTTTTTTTTAAAGATTTATTTATTTATTTACACAGAACTGGGGTACAGGCCAGAGATGCGGAGGGTGAGAGGATTCACCAGGGACAGAGTGGGGAGCAGAACAGGCAGATCGACGAAGAACACTGCTGAGGGGAGCAGTGGGCGGGTCAGGAGAGGTCTGCCACGCCATGTGGTCACCTCCGGGGCAGGCGGGAATCAAACTCATGAGGAAGTGGCTTTAGCTTCTTAGTGCTGTGCTTTAACACGCTGCGCCACCAGGGAGGGCCGAGAATTGGTATTTTTTAACAAGCCCTGTCATTAATAATAATTGTACTTCACCATGTAAGAACGAACAGGTAGTTAATGCATAATGTCAAAAGTTAACTCAATGTAAATGTTTTGAAATCCTTAAGATATTTTGGAAATTTTGGAGACCTGAAGAAAATGACTAATCAATGATGACAAACTGATCTTAGTTAGTCCTAAACTGAACAGTTTAACAAACCTGTAAGAAGAGCTCTGCAGTACCATGGCAAACTATAGCATCTTTCCATCTTCTCAACTCTCTGATCTTCCTTTCCCTCCCTCCCTCTCATGCTTACCTCCTTCCTTTGACACTTACCTGAGTTCTTCTCTGACCTCCACCACTGTGTTCCCTGCTATAACAAACACATCATTCATGTCATTGGTCAGCATGTTGCAGGCATAGCCAATGTTGATGGCAGTTTCTGATACAAAATAAATTTCATTTCAGTTAGACCATGACTTAAGCATAAGTACCTTTTCAAAAAAAAAGTTTTGAGATTACGGCTATATTTCCTTAGAACCTACGTCAGAGAGAATATGATGAATGATTGATAAAATTCAAAGGTTTAGGTTCCATGATCACATTTACCACTTGTTAAATCCATGAAAAAAAAGCAACACCTATGACACTTCAGCCTTCTCACTTAGTTTTTAGGGGAAAAAAATCAACCCTGTTTGCATCCCAAAATCAGTACTTATAAATATATCCTACGCTCTTGGGATGTAGTGAAATGTATAAATAAAAATCCTTTTACCAGAAATATCAAATAGAGTGTTAGGAGAGATAAAATACCAAATTTAGATGTTATTCAATTTTGATGTAGTAGACAAATTGAAAAAAAAAAAGCTCAGAAAATGCTCTTATAAATTTTATATAGTTCTTTCCCATGCAAATTTTCCACTTTCCCATTAAGTGAACAGAAATTTGACCATCACCTCAAAAACCACCCAGGATTATTGCTCCTCTAGAAATGGAGAATTACATGATGTTGGTCATTCCTTCCTCTAATTACAGAAATATGTTCTAGTTTGTCAGGTAACCCTTCCACGTCAAATAGTCATTTAATTCCAATTCTATTAAGTCATTAGAGTCTAGCTAATTATACAGAGTAATTAGATTTGTTAGGGAAGAAAACTGAAAAAAAAATCATAGGATGTCTTTTTATAAGCCACAGAACTTAAAGCTAAATAATAGTAAATGTGTGCACAGTCACAATTAATTGAACATTGACCAACATCAAACTCTAGAAAATCTGTTTAGCAACATGCCCACTGTGTTCAACTCCCTCTTATCTATTTTTTATAACCACAGATTTGGGTAAATATACAAAGAACTGATTAATCATATTTGAAAATCCTCCAAGGTTCTAAAATATATATCTATAACAGGTATAAAGAGTTTTAAAGACAAATGCATAGGAACCAACTGGTTTACTTATGATCAAGCATAAAATTATTTTGGTTTAAACCATTATTCTAGCAACTAATCCAAAATGTAATGATCCCCCCTTTTTATTCTTCTTAGGAAAAACAGTATTTTGACAGCATTCAAAGATAGTGTATCTGTATCACAGATGGGCAGTCCTGGAATTCAGTTTGCACTGGTGCAGCGGGGGGGGGGGGGGGTGTCGGAAGAGGGGTAGTTAAAATACCAAGATATTTCCAAATTAGTTGATAAACAGCTGTTTTCCTGAACCTCCCAAAAGCCTACCTCCACCCTGGCCTCTCCTCTGAGATTCTCAAGCTTCACTACCATCAAGAAATTAAGGCTAAGTTAATTACACCCTAAGTTAAGGTGTAACCTTATGTTAATGCAGGCAAACATCCATAGCATCTATGGTTTTTGTCACAGAATCTTGCGCTCAAGGAATATCTCCACTGTCCTGCTTCAGTGCTGAGCATCTGCTCTGTTTAGGCACCATGCTGTACAGACCAATAGCTAACCATTTTAAACACCATTGTTTAACTACTATATTATGTTTAAGAGGTAACTGAGTTGAAATTCAACTAACTCTGAGTGTACTATAGAAGATATTTTGTTAGTTTTTGTTTGCTTTTAAATAGTAAGTTCTGGTAATATATTAGTTTGCCTTTTTTTACGATTCAACCCTCCTATTGAGGGGCTGGGAGTATATCTAATTAGTTAAACTTTCTGGTTAATAAAATTTTACCATAGTAATTATCACCCCCTTTTCAAAATATTAATTGTTAATTTTTAAATTACCTTGTTTGTCTCCTGTGAGGAGCCAGATCTTAACATTGGCTAGTGATAAACTTGTAACTGTTTCAATAACACCCTCTTGTAACTTATCTTCTACAGCAGTAGCACCTAGTAGCTTCATTGAAAAATAGAAAATGTCTTATGTTAATGCATGAAAAATCTATAGCATCTATGGCTTTCAGTCAGAGTCGAGAGATCAAGGAATAGAAATTGAAGGTGCATTTGAGGATGCATTAATTTACAGCAACCTGTTATGTGTACAACTGAGTTGAGGAAAACCTCTGAAGAAGTTTCCTTAGTCAAGCCATTTGATGGATACATCAATCAATGACAGAGATCCTGGAAGTTAGCATTTACATGAAAGGTCTGAAAGGCTCATATACATGTTAGCATAAACAATCAGATTCATTTGGGCTTCTAAGAACTCCCCAGCTCCTTTCCTACATGAAAAGGTTCAACAAAAATGAAGGAAAGCTCTCATTCTTGTAATCAGGATCACAAAATGATAGAGCTATTTTCCTAAGTTAACAAGCCAGCAGATGCTATAAACTAAAAAGTAAAGGTAATTGCACAGTATTTCATCCAAAGATGAAGCAGACATGCTGCAGAACCTCACAATAGCTGAACATACTAGCCATTGTGGCCTCAGGGAAGAATGATTTCTAGACTAAATCACACTCTGGATAGCATAGATATCACCAGGATTTCATGGACTTAGATGGCTTAGAGCTACAGCCTACTCTTTAGGGCAGGTTTTCCTGCTCTAAAAAGGTGAATCACAAAGCAGGGAGAAAAAAAATAAAATGTAACATCAAGCACATACCAGAGATTGACAAAGAATAGGGAGTCCATTATCTTCTGCTCCTGAGGGAACTGCCGATTGCATAAACTACAGCTAATGAAAACTATTCTCCAGTCTTTCTAGGACCATACATGGCAAACTCAAAGCTAGCACATAAAGCATGATTCAGTGTTTGAAAAAGTAACAGCTGCTGTGAGCAAGATGGTTTAGCCAATGAATTTTTCCTATGCTAGATCTCTAAACACATAACATCCTTCTATAAACACAAACCATCACACTTCCAAATTCATACCATCAAATCCCTTTCAATTTCTTCATACAGTCCTGCTATCTGTTCATCCCTCTTATCTGTGGCAGCATTTGCATCTTCCAGCATTTTATGCCACTCTTTAAAGTACTTGTCATCCAGGTCTCTGTATGCGATGGCCAAGGTTCGAAGGCCTTCCCCTGCAAACTCCTGCCAAAGCAGACATAGACTTAGGAAACCTCCCCAAACAATAAATATAGCAATAATAACAACATTGAATAAAAAGTTTTTCACTCAGATTTTTTTCCCCCAAGGGCATTTACTGGGCCCCCAGTTCTTTAATTTCCTTGGAAATCAGAGGATATGTTAATAAGTTGTATTTTATTTCTATGGGGTTAAAACATTTAGGGAAGCTAGTCTTCCCTCTAAAGACAGTTGAAATACCTGCTGAAGTATCCTAGTTGAAAGGTAACCAGTGACCCCCAGTTTAAGATATCAGTTTGAAACACTATATATTACTTTCCAAGCTGCCCTTAGCCTGAAGCACTCCTGGCAACAACAGGAGTGACCTTTGGCTTCTAGTGGAGAGAAAAGTGCTCTTGCAGGAGTCAGCTCTCAAGTCAAAGGCAAGAGGCTCTCAAGGAATTGCAAGACATCTCTCCCAAGCTTTGTCACCTTCCCCCTAATAACATAGGGCTCTGTGTAAATTTAGCTGAGACCTAATTTATGTTTGGAAAGATGCATAATTAAAAGTGAAAAAGTCAGTAGTGGATGAGTAAGTAATTGTTACTCAGGTAATGGAAACTTCAATATTTGTATTAAGGTTAAAATAATCTCTGGGAGGAACGAATGAGAAATATCAGAAAGTTAACAAAAATGTTGGCTTCTGGGACATAAAATTAGAAGCAGAGACAGCCTTGTACCACTCTGATCCTCTGAAAACTTTTTTTTTGCTATGTGAAACTTTGAATAATAAAAGCTGCTTGAAATTTTAAGAATACCACCAAGATTAGTTTAAATATCACTCTTTTTTAGCAACTATTTTCTATGCCATTCATATTTAAAAACTAGTCAAATTAATTGGAGAACTATACTTTTCCTTTAATATCTCAAAAACTGATCATTTTAATGATACCTCTGGTGCTTTACCTTTATAGTAAGACAAAGTAAATTTACCAGGAAACTGGTAGTTGCTAAAGGTCTCACGCCACCCACAATCGCTTATGTACCTGCTTTGGGAAACTGCTAAAAACCCCACTTCGCCTAGGACTCCGGTGGTCCTTTCATGGGCCTCCACAATGCAAGCATTTTAGAGTCATTTCTGTTCCTTCGGGCATTGCCACTGAGTCTTATCTTCTCTGTTGTTATGTTTTGGCATATGGTAAAGACACTTGTGATCAGGCACAAGTCAAACCATGACACACACTAATTAGGCAAATGAAAGGATAGTGTAATTGCAATTTTGTGGTTTAGAGAGAACATGAGCAAAAATTATTTACATTTATAGTTTATGTTGTAGGCAGTTGGTAGCACTTTGGTTATTGCAAATCACATTTTACCAGCCCTGCCTTCCAAGACCCCCACTGGGTCCCCTGCTGATCTGAAAATCTAGTTACTGTCTTGTAAGAATCTTTTGTCCTCTTAATTTACACAAACACTTATTTGCCTGTAAGTCACAAGCCTACTGGGCATTACCAATGCTTTTCTCTGTTCTGCACAGCAGTGAATAAACTCAAAGACTACATTACAAAAGGGACAGATGATTTCAGTTATTTAATTAGTGCATGAAATACAAGTTTAGTCCTAAATGAGTATTTGAGCAAGGTTGTTTCCTATCATTAAACAATTCAAAATCAATAATTGAATATAAATTTAAAACCTCAGAATTCAGAGGCTAAATGAATAAAACAAATGAAGCAAAGAGCAAGTTGAACTGTTGTTACCTAAAAAAGAAAGAAAAAAATTTTGCATAGAAATGTGAAAAGACCAAATCTGTATTTCAGTATGAAAG